TCACACTTTTAATTTATATATTTAAGATAAAAATTAGAGGAACACTATATTAATTTTAACATCAAAGTTCATACAAGGGAAGGAAGTTCGATTCTGCTGGATGGTGTCATCAATTCTTTTCTTTGAAAAATAAAATAAATATAATTGTTAACAAATCATTTCAATCAAACAGGTAACGTCCTAATGGCAAAGATCACAGCAAATCTTCTTGAAGTCATGTGTTCAAGCTCTCGGGTAGCAAATTTAAGGTAAATCCTCTGTATCAGTTCGAACGGTTCTACCGGTTTTGAGTGGTTCAACCACTACCGGTTTTAAATGTTGACCTGATCCGTTTTTAATACCGGGTACCGGTCTGACCGGTTCAACCGATCGGTCCGGTCCGGTTTTTAAAACAATGGGGGCCAATAGCCTTGGCTCCAAAGTCCAGATTTTGAATAAGACTTATGTTGAGGCGTAAGTTCTCAAAATTGAGTTTTAAGATTGAATTTTAATGTGTTCAAGTTTATTTAGCTCTTTGATAGTTCTAAATAATTTTTAGAAACTAATAACGTTAATGGTTTAATTGTACTATAAATGTATAGTGCATATTTTAGATTAGTTAATATGTATTAGTACATGTTACTCTCAATAGATTACTTAATTAGTTAAAAACTTAAGATTTTAAATTAAAAAACTTTAAATTTTAAATTAAAAAACTTTAAATTTAAATTTTGAATTAAACGAAAGAGATTTTATAACTCAAACAAATATACTAAAAAATATATATATATATTACTGCTACATGTTAAATAAATATAACTTGTATTATCGCACTTGGGCTTTTGGGCCTAGTGATGTTAACTTATGTTTAAAATGCATCCTCCTTCCTAAACAATTGTTTGAATCTGAATCATTGTAAATTTGTTCGAAATATATATATATATATATGAGGTTGCTGACTTATAGTTCGCCTTGTGGCAGACGATAAGATCAGAGCCATAAAAAAGAGGGGAAGGTGAGTTCAATACCAATGGCCCACCTCTTTTGATGGTCCTAATCGTACAGTTCATCATGTAGCGGACTGTAAGACAGTTTTTTCTGTATATATATAACTTGTACTTCAAAAAGAGAAACTAAAGTTTTAAGTGGGCCGCCTGCAATGAGTCGTGGACCACTGGAACTTTACGAATAGAGATTAGAGACCCTCAATTGGCCCACACTGAATTGGGACATCAAAAATGAAGCCCAATATAAGGGATGGTGATCATTGAGCATTCGCGTTCTGCACTATCCACGTCATCACAAGGTGGCCCGCCTAATCATCTACGTTCCAGATTGACCGGAGAAATGGGGCAAAACAGAAGGGTCCCTTTCTTCTCCGAAATGGTCACGGAGCAGACTGCGTTGCTGTGTGGGTTGACGTATCCATGGGAGGAGGTACTTGTAGAAACTGCCATAGCAAAGCAAGGAAGACTGCAAAAAGAAGATTGCGAACATCTTCCTTTGCCAGTCTGCTCCCTTATCTCCTGATAACTTTAATTAATCTCTTGAAGAAGAGAATTGATAAAATCATGTATCAGGTTAATTTGAATCTTGACAATTTGCCTGCAACTCGTTATACTAAGAAGGAGGACTATGTGTTGAGCCGGAACGGGTATACAGTTAATTGGGCTTAAGGTTCAGGATGTGCATTATGTGTTTAACCATTTGAAGTTTTATGTTCTTGTTCACAAGTATGAGGAAACAAAAATGTGTGGCACATGAAGCTGAGGTCATCCATACAATTGGAAATGGGGAGTCTGACGTGCCGGGTTACGTGGTTTGTGCGATTTGAGGTTGTTCCTTTGTAGTGTCATGCTTAATGCTAATGCTGTCAAGAACCCGAAAATGTATGAAAAGTGTATCCAACTTCTATTAAATGGGATCCGAATACCGTGTCAAATGCCTACTAAGGAAGGCGTGAGCACCGACGACCTGTTGGGCTAAGTGGAAGGAGGTCGGTTCCCCTTAAGTAAGATCTGGAGTTCGAGTTTTGTGAATGGAAAAACAGGTGCCGGGAGAGTTTCCCCTTAATGGGGTCAGACGCGGTTTGATTTTAGATTAATCGAGACCCAAA